GGATCTGTGGGTTCATAGTTTTTATCAAATTTGGGCAACTCTGGCCAGGCTCAGTGGTATGCACCTGTAGTTCCAGCTACTCTGGAGGCTGAGGCAGGAGGATCACTCGAACTTAGCAGTTTGGGGCTGCAGTGTGCCATGATGGCACCTGTGAATAGCCACTGCACTCCAGCCTGGGAAACATAGTGAAAATGCTTCTAAAAATAAAAAGAGGGCAATTCTGGCCATATTTCTTCAAATACAGTTATAGTAATTATTTAAATGTCATTATCTGCTAAGTCTAACTTATATTTTAGTTCTGAGTTCTTTTTCATTGATTGCTTTTTTCCTCATTATGGGTTTATTTTCACACTTCTTTGCATATTGGTAAATTTTTATTGAGTGCTAGGCATTTTGAATTTTACCTTGTTGAGTCCTAGCTATTTGTGTATTCCTGTAAATATTCTTAAGCTTTGTTCTGAGACACAGCTCAGTTACTTCAAAAGAATCTCATCTTTTCAAGTCTTTCTTTCTTCTTTCTTCTTTTTCTTTCCTCTTTTTTTTTTTTTTTTTTTTTTTTTTTGAGTTAGAATCTTGCTCTATTGCCCAGGCTGGAGTACAGTGGCACATTCATGGCTCACTGCAGTCTCAAACTCCGAGACTTAAGTGATCCTCCCACCTCAGTCTCCTGAGTAGCTGGGAACTACAGGCACATGCCACCATGCCTAATTGTTTTTAATTTTTTTAAAGATAGGGTTTCACTATCTTGCACAGGCTGGTCTCAAACTCCTGGCCTCAAGTGATCCTCCCATCTCAGCCTCCCAAGTTGCAGGGATTACAGTTGTAAGCCATCACACCTGGCCCAGGTCTTTCAAGATTTGTTAAGGGAACAGAGCCATGTTTATTCTACAGCTAATTATTCCCCACTACTGAGGCAAAAGCCTTTGAGTACTCTCTACTCAATGCTTTGTGAATTACGAGTTTTTCTAGTCTGGCTGGTGGGAAGGGGCACTATTCCTGCACCGGTTTGAGCCCCAAGTACTGTTCCCTCTAATCCTCTGGGTAGTAATTTCCCCAGCCCTTGGTAGTTTTTCCACATATATGCACTGATCTCTACTTTATTGAATATTCAACCGGGTCCCTCTGTAGATTTCTAGAGTTCTGTCTTTGCCCAACTCTCTCCTCTCCAGTGTTCTGTCCTGCAAACTCTAGCTCAAGCTTTACCAACCCGCGGCTCACAGGCTGCATGTGGTCCAGGATGACTTTGAGTGTGGCCCAATACAAATACATAAACTTTCTGAAAGCATTATGAGAACTTTTTGCGGTACATTTGTTTAGCTCATCAGCTATTATTAGTGTTAGTGTATTTTAAATGTGGCCCGAGACAATTATTCTTCTTCCGATGTTGCCCAGGGAAGCCAAAAGATTGGACACCCCTGCTCTAGCTGCTTGAGTCTGCCGGGATTCTCAGCTCTGTCTATTCTCAGAGATTCTGGCTCAGAGAGTTTCTTCTTCCTACATCACAGCTTTGAAACTATCTCAAGGCAGTAAGCTGGGGCACGCACAGTGCTCTTCTCCTTCGTTCTCTCTCAGGGATCACTGTTCTTCTGTGGTTCTAGTGTCTTGAAAACTGTTGTTTCATATATTTTTCCTGGTATTTGGTTGCTTCAGGCAGGAGGGTAAATCTGGCCTCTTGTACTCTAAATTAGCTGGAATTGATAGTCCCTTATATATATACCTATTTTAAAACAAATAATTTCTTTCCAGTTAATCCTTTACTGGTAGAAGACTTTTTTTCAATATGAAGTTGTTCTATTTTATTTTTGCTGCTGTTATTCTTAATTCTGTGAATTTATAAGTAATATAGTCTGCATTTTAATTAATGTTACCAAAATTTCACAAGTCTCCCATCACAGAGAATCATGGAAAAAGGCAAACATTGAAATCTAGAAGATAACTTTTGCTGTGGAAAGGTGATCTTCCCCAAATTCTGCCCACAATGGCATGTGTGTGTGTGATTCCAGAGACGCTATGTAGATGTTGATAGGCAAGGGGCTGGTAGCTGGGTCTCCACCAGTGGGATTGTCCCTAACTGGGGAGGCCTGGCTTGATTCTCAATTGTCTTAACTCTGAAGAATCGTCAAAGGATTTGGGTGGTCATTGACTGACCAATTATTCAGCTATGTCAAAGTGGTTTTGTGGGTATTTAGAAACATCTCATCCTACCCTTACCATTTTGTAAATGAGGAAAGAGAAGTGGACAGCTTTTAAGAGACTCACACAAGTTTCCCAGGAAGTTCTGAGATCTAAGCTGAGACTTAGGTCTCTGGACTCCCATCTTGAGAGTGTTTCCACTATATGGCACCACAGTCCTGCTCACAGATATGACCATATTAATGCAGTGGTAACATTCGCACTCATGGGGCATTTCTGAAACACCATTTTTGCTGATCGATGTTTAATTCATCGTCCTTCTTGTCACCCTACTTCTTGCTTGTGAGCAATTTAAACACTGGGGACTGGGATGGGTATTTCTAATCCAAGGATGGAAGAATGTGGCACTTCTTGATACCAAAGCAGTCTAGAAAATTAGTCATTGATGAAAAATGAGTTTGTAATATCCCACAGGCATTTACTTTGGAAACTAGAAGTTCTCAAGATGCTTTCTTTTCACTCTTCCTTTTATCACCCTAGATTAATAAGGTATACTTGACAAATAAAAGTTGTACATATTTAAGGTATAGAACATGACCTTTTGATATACATATACATTGTGAAATGATTACCACAAATAATCTACTGAAGATATCCATCAATCACTTCACATAGTTACCATTTTGTGTGTGTGTACACAGAACACTAAGATCTACTCTCTTAGCAAATTCAAGTACACAATACATTATTATTATTTCGTAGAGACAGGGTCTCCTTATGTTGCCCAGACTGGTCTCAAACTCTTGGGGCTCAAATGATCCTTCTGCCTTGGCCTCCCAAAGTGCTGGGATTACAGGCATGGGTCACGGCCCTGCCTCAATACATTCTTACTAACTATATTTACCATCCTGTACATTAGGTCTCCAGAACTTACTCATAAAGTGAAAGTTTGTACCCTTTTACTCAGATCTCCCCATTTTCCCAACCTACCAGCTACTGGCATTCTATGCTTTTTTTTTTTTTTTTTTTGAGATGCGGTCTCACTATGTCACCCAGGCTGGAGTGCAGTGGCACGATCTTGGCTCACTGCAACCTCCACCCCCTGAGTTCAGGTGATCCTCCCTCCTCAGCCTCACAGGTAGCTGGGACCACAGATGTGCACCGGCTAAGTTTTCGTATTTTTGGTAGAGACGAGGTTTTACCATATTGCCCAGGCTGGTCTCAAACTCCCAAGCTCAAGCGATCCACCCGCCTCAGCTTCCCAAAAAGCTGGGATTACAGGTGTGAACCACTGTGCCCAGCCCCATGCTTTATTTCCATGAGTTTGCCTTCTTCAGATTCCACAGAAAGTAAGATCATGCAATCAGTAGTTGTCTTTTGATGTATGGCTTACTGTACTTACCACAATGGACCTCTACGTCCATTCATGTTGTCACAAATATTAACATTCTTTCTTAAGGATTAAAAATCCATTGTGTGTATATACATATATATACACATACACACTACATTTTCTTTATCCATTCATCTGTTGAGGGACAATCAGGTTGTTTCCATATCTTGGCTATTGTGAATAATGCTGCAATGAGCATGAGAGTATAGAGACCTCTTTAAGATACTTACTTCATTTCCTTTGAGTATGTACCCAGAAGTGAAACTTCTGGATCATATGGTAGTTCTACTTATAGTTTTTTGAGAAAACTCCGTGCTGTTTTCCATAATGGCTGTACTACTTTACATTCCTACCAATGGGGTACAAGGGTTTCCTTTTCTCCATATCCTTGACAACAATTGTTATTCAATTATTATCACCTCACACCCCTCAAGTTTTATTGAGATTTAAAATACAAAAAGTGTACATATGTTAGTTGAGTTTGATGAATTTTTACTATTTATACATCTGTGTAACCATCACACAGATTAAGACAAAGGGGATTCCGGGAAGCTTTCCAAAAAGCTTACTCATGCCCCTTTCAAGTCAATACCTGCCCCTTGTAATCACTACTAAAACTTCTATGACTATTGATTAGTTTTATCTGTCCTTGCATTTCGTATTAATGGAATAATATAATGTCTACTCTTTTTCATATTCTTTCACTCAACATTTTGTTTAAGAGATTCAGCCACATTATTGTGTGAAACACATTTGTTTTCTTTGATTGCTAAGTAGTATTTTATTCTGTGAATATACCATAGTTTATCCATTGTCCTGTTGATGGACACTTGAGTTGATTCTGGTTTTGGACTATTGTGAATAAAGCTGCTGTCGATATTTTTGTAGGAGTCTTTTGGTGAAGATAAGCACTCAATGTTCTGAGCTATATGCCTAGGAATACCATATTATGAACTACATCTGAAGGCTCTTAATACCTATATTGTAACATTGTTGATGATTTATTTTACATATTCAATTGCCCTTCTAATTCCCAAGGTGTTACTCTAGCTACCACCAAACAGAGGATGCTATTCCTGACCTTCTTTTCTTCTTCCCCCAAAAGAGACACTTCTCCTGCAAAGCCATCAAGAATTAGGGTAGCTGGCAGCAGAGGAACACTTGCACACGCCCCATAGCTCCCTTGGAGGATTTTGAATGGAGCCCTGGTTGTCTTTCCCCTTAGTGGGGTTGATGATAGCAGGGAATCCTGAGAACATGCCAGGGGAAAAAGCAGACTTGCCCTCAGGGAAAAAAATAAAAAATGGAATATTTGATTTCCTTCAGCGGAAGTAATTATTAAACACCAAACTGGGCAAAAAGGAAGAAACCATCAAAGTAATGGCTTCTCTCTAAAGACACAGCACCTTGTCAAGGTAGGTGGTGGGACTTAAGGAACTTTGGCCACATTGTTACGATTGTTTTTCTAGTTCAAGATATGAAACACCCAGAGGCTGGTTCTATAGTTGCTGGGTCCATTTCGCTTTGTGCCATGCCTTTATTCATCGGGCACTAGGCAGAAGATAGTACTGAATTAGGCTAATTATGCCTGTTGCAGCCGGTAACTTTCATAATAACTTTACTGTCATATAAAAAAGCAGCAAGTTGTTTGCCTGAAGGACAACAGATGTGACTGAGTCTCACCTTCTTGCCTATCTAGATGAATTTTAATATGTAGCTTTTTGAACTTTAAATAATAGCTTCCTCAAATCTCACAGAACTCTCTGGGAAAGAGGACATTTATCCTCATTGTTCAATCCCTGCCTCGGAAGTTATTAATGACCCTTTCTCTTTCCTCATAAAACTGTTTTGGGGTTAGTCTCTGCTAGGCTGCTGGTTTGAAGTTAGGAGATGGACCATGAATAGGTTTGGAATAAACGTGGTGTGTCACCCTTGGGCTTTCTTTGTTGAAGTATAGTTTTCTTTAGAACCTCATTTTTAGGAGTCTACATAGATAAATACAATAAGATAGTGTTGACGTTGAAGTAGAAATAAATCACTGCTACTAGCCTTTGGGCTAACAGCTCAGACTTCTTCATCGTGTTTCAGTTGTGGCCTAGAAACTAGGCACAACTGATTGTCAGTTCAGAGAAATGCCCTGGCCCCTGGAATATTCTCTCCCATATGTCCTAATGGCACAAACACATCTTTAAGGCTGCTAGCAGAACCTTTACTTATCTAAAACTCATGAGGAAAAGCTACTGGTGGCCTGGAACACGTGATCCAAGAAGGTACTATGTACGGGCAACTTAAAAAAAAAATCATATTCTCTCATTGACTTACGATTTCAGAGCCAGGTGACTTCAGTTTTGGTAGATTTTTCCATTGGCACTGCTACCTACTCCTTTGGTTTTATGTTTCCTCTATACTTATTCAACATAATCCATCCCAGGAAAATGGTCACATTAAGACATCTTTGTTTTAAAGGTTTCAAAAATTGCTCACACTTTATTTTTAAAGTTAAAATTTGAACCAAGCTAGAGATAGCCTAGCCTTAAACCTACCTTTGTGGTCAGGTCCTCCACCTCCAAAGCATTTCCTCTGCCCTCACACACAAAAAAAATCTTCTCAATTCTTGCATTCAGAATTAAGAAGTGAACATTTGGAAGATTAATAATGATTACTCCCCAAGATCTATATCATTAACATAAAATTATTTGGGGGTTATTGTAACAAAGTCTATTGATATCTGAATCTTTTAATTGATACAAAAGCAATGGTGTTATTCTCGCCCGTCCTCCTACCCCATTTCATTCCTATGAGAGCACATTTTCCTTATAACAGTGAAAGTATGAAGACACTAGAATCAGGAAGATTTTTAAAAATTGGAAAATCTTCAAACCAGTTCACCATTTCTTGTACAACAAGAATATTACGATGTACAGATTAGTTTAGAAGGAGTTAAATGAGAATAAAGGTTGCTGGGAAGATTAAAATTCTTAATTCAAAACAATTTTATTGAGTAAGGGTTATTTTGTGACAAACAGCCAGGTTTTAAATTTCCTGTCTTGCTTATAAAACCAGCACATACCTCCACAGAAGGCAGGTCTCTCTTTCTTTTAAACATAACCATAGCCAACCAGTAGAGTCTCTTTTGCAATGAAATGCTATTATTTCAAAGGAACTGGGTAGATATAGAATCACTTGTGTCAACTGAGGAATGATGAGGTTCATAAATTTGTAAAGGAGAGCTTTATTTTTCATAAAGGGTTGCAGCCTGCAGGGTGGCCATTTTGACAGGCTGGGAAGCACAGCCTCCAACGAGAAGCCAGAAACAGATACTTTGAGGGAGGGGAGAATAAGACGGGAATTCCGGCTGAGCGAGGTGGTCAAATGTACATATTCAACAAGCTATAGGAGGAGTCATGAATATTTATGAAACAGGAAACATGAGCATGTGCAATTGAACTTCATGCCCTTCTATGGGACCCATGTTCAAAAATGGCAGTGTTAGCATGATCCAGTGGTGCAGTTTTCAGCCCTTGGATGTTAAAAAGTGAAGCAGAGGACCTGAAAACCCTCACTACTGCATTCTCTGTAGACTGGCCAGAGCGGTGGTTGGTGGTTTCTTATCAGGAAGGAATGCTGGTCGGTTGTTGTGCCAAAAGGGAGGGGCAGTGGCAGGTGGTTGGTCCATATCAGTGGTGGAGTCTTTCAAAAAGGCTGGTTTCTGTTAGGCCTTTAGGAAAGAAAGGCTAATGGTGGTTAGCAAGGAAAGAGGTATTACAAGGTGCGTCTGACCTCCCATCCTGTCAGGACCAAGAGCTCAGTTTTCAAGGTTACTCTGAGGTCCCCTTGGCCAAGAGGGAGTTCATTCAATCAGTTGGGGGGCTTAGGATTTTATTTATATTTCTCAGTCGTAATAACTTATCTACAAGTGGATTGACCACTCTACATTTGCCCATTGATCACATACGCAGTGGTCGACAAGCAATGGTATTTTCATAGTTAATTTGTGTGAAATGGAATTTACTGCAGCTCTGCAACTTAAGCATATTTTGGCATTTTCAGCTGTCATGGACAGTGAATTTTAAAGATCACAACTCCAGGAAGTTTTAGTCCCTTCATCTAAGAAATAAAAAGAATACCTACTCTCTCAGGGTACCACCTTTGATTTCTTGCTTGTTATTATTATAGGCATGCGTGCATGAATCATACCAAAATCTCCCTGCAGCCAGCTTTTTGAGCAAGAAGATAGAACTTCACACATACTTTCTCCTAACTCAATTCTCTCTGTGTCTCAGTTAAAGTGACTTTGGGACCATGGAGAACTTAACATTGTAATTTTTATTTTATTTATTTGATATAGGATCTCACTCTGTCACCCAAGCTGGACTGCAGTGGTACCATCACAGCTCACTGCAGCCTCGACCTCCCCTGCTTAAGTGATCCTCCCGCCTCCCGAGTTGTTGTGGTTACAGGTGTGCACCACCATGCCCGGCAATTTATTTTTTTTTTTTTTTTGTATTTTTTGTAGAGACGGGATCTTGCCATGTTGCCCAGGCTGGTCTCGAACTCCTGGGCTCAAGTGATCCACCTACCTGGGCCTCCCAAAGTGCTGGGACTACAGATGTGAGCCACCATGCCTGGCCAACATTGCAATTTTAAAAGTGAAGTCTATACTTGCCTATTTCCATAATTTAGTTTTCATTAAAAAAAAAACTGAACTGTGCAGACTGGATTTTCTGAACCACATTTCTGGCAGAGAGAGGAGTGGAAGAAGATGGAGGATCCCCAAAGGTGTCCTGTTTTGAGTATTCAGTCACCTCTTGTTTTCCCCAACAATCCCCTGCTGTTTGCTTTATGACGTAATGAATGCATGAGGCCATTCTATTTACTGCCTTCAGCAGTTTGAGCTATCCATGTGGCTTCCTCCCCTAGAGGAATTTCACAGATACATTATTGCATACAATTACATAAAATACATTTAAATTGAACAGGGTGAGTAGCAGGCAGGCTAGTCTGAGTGTTTCTACGGAGTTAATCCCTGGTGAAGAGGAAAATTGCTGCATATAAATGAGATCTCATTGCTGTCCTAAACCAGTTGGTAAGTGATACCATCTGCTGGGAAGGAATTCTCAATGCCCTTGACACTTGCCCCACCCACTTACCAGAATAACCATTCTCCATTCACTATGTACTAGCTTTCATATGCAAGGAGGATGTTCGGTGGGCTCTGTCACCTTTCCCTAGTGGTATAGGGTCTTAGCTGAGAGACTTATACTATCAACCTGGTTCTCTAACGGCAAAACAGACCATATTTTTAGGACAACAATCATATTAGGGCTCGGGCTGTGGCCTAAATCAGTGTTCTCAACCTTGGCTGCACATCAGAATCCTCTGGGGAGCCTTTAAAAATCCTAATGCCCAGCCTATTCCCCAACTCCCGGGTGATTCCAAAGTACAGCTAAGTTTGGAAACCAGTGGCCTAAATCCTAAATCAGTACTTCTCCAATGTGTGTGACTATGAATCCCCAGGAGGTCTTGTTAAAATGCAGATTCAGATTCTGGGTGGGACAGCATCCCTGGGTTGAGATTCTGCAGTTATAACAAGCTCCTGGGTGAGGCCCACACTGCTGATCCAGACTACATGTTGTGCAGCTCTGATTCCTCTCATTACTGTCATCATCTAACTCAGGGATTTTCAAACTTTTTTCTTAAAGCTTTTGAAGAAAGAAAAATAGCTCGAGCAGTCTGAGTATGTGCAAAGTTTAGCAGGCTCAGAGAGACATGAGTATGGGACATCAGTCATCCCATACCCCACAACCATGCTGGGGGGACACTGGTTTAAAGTTATTTGTACCTCTCTACCTATCTCCTTCATTATCCTTATGCTCCTCGAATTTGTGATACAAAGAACAATGTATAGTCAACCTATAGTTTATGTTATTTTAATGTAAATTCTTGGTAAGCAATTTAGGAACCTGCCTCTTTTTTCCTTAAAAATCCACGTGTAGGCCGAGCATGGTGGCTCTTGCCTGTAATCCCAGCACTTTGGGAGGCCGAGGTGGGAGGATCCCTTGAGCCTAGAAGTTTGAGACCAGCCTGGATAATATAGTGAGACCCTGTCTGTACTAAAATTCAAAAAAATTAGCTGGGCATGGTGGCACATGCCTATAGTTCCAGCTACTGGGGGAGGAGGCATGAGCTGAGGTGGGAGGATCGCTTGAGCCCAGGAGGTCGAGGCTGCAGTGATCACGCCACTGCACTCCAGCCTGGGTGACAGAGGGAGATCTTATCTCAAACAAAAACACTTGTAACTGCTGCTGATTAGAGTATACCTTCACAGCAATTTAAAGCTGTGGTCTAGGGTGGCCATCCTCTAACTCTGAGCTCGAATAAAACTCTATACTTAATTATATCTTCTGAATTCATTATTTAAGATTGACACTGTGAAATCCTTTCTTCAAATTCAACCTGACAACAAAGCCTCATATATGTAACAGGTAGAACTGGGGTGCTTCCAATAGTGAAGTGCCAGAGCTGGTCCACAAAGCTAAATCAACCATGATTGCAGCATATATGTTCCTTGTTAATGTACATACCATGAACACTGTTATGCCCTTCTGCTTGATGTTAACTCTTCCTTGCAAGGGAATATCTATAATTAGTGATTAATTGAATTTCTGAAAACTTTCTTTAGGGTCCTAATTTGCAAGAGGTTTTTAGCCTTGTTTGCATAACCATAAATGGCTGGTTTCCACACAGTCACCTGTGGCCACAGTGCCCCACCCAAAGCCTCAGGTATGTATAAATCTGACTTCAGCCCATCTTTAAATTAACTCAAATGAGATGTCAGAGCCTGACTGCTCAGGTTTATGAGCTCATTCAAACACATAGTTTAAAGGTAAGCTGTTAAAGTAACATCAGCAGTGTCACTCATTTTCATTCTAAGGCCCATCACTAACTTTATTCATTTACACATTATCTGCCTGTTTCCATGAAAACGTAAGTTCCATGATGGCAAGTACTTTCTCTGTCTTGTCACCACTGTAGCCCCACACTCAGAATAGTACCTAATACATAGTAGGTGTCTGATAAATATCTATGGAACAATTGCCCAAAGAAACTTCACCAAAAATTCCCAAGGCAGGATAGGTAGTCAATGACCATGTTCTCTTGACTGAGCAACTGTAGCAACTATATCGTGACCAGTCAACACAATAAACTGCAGCATTTGCATTGTAATTGAGTTCATTCAAGCAAAGCTATCTTCAGTAGGGACTTTCCCTTCTAGACAGCATGTACGTTTTCATTTTATCTGTCCTCAAACTGACCCTTTGCTCATTATAATAGTAAAAAACACACCCTTGGGGTAGAGATTTAAGATGCTAATGAGACATATGATATATGAACAAGCATGTACAGGTACTGCTCACGCGCACCCAGAAGACCACCCAGAACATACTAATAGTAACACCTCTTTCCAACTCCTTATGAATAATTATGGAAGACCCCATAAAGGGAGTCTCCCTAGTGGCAGTCTTTGCTGTCTCATCCTAATGAACAGCCTGCCCTGAATCCCTCTCTCGGGGTGTACTGTTTATTCTGCACCTAACTTTCACAATATTCTTTTTCTTTAGCAATAAATTACTCTATGCCGTACCTCCTTCGCTGTGTGTCTCCTGTTTAAATTCTTTTAAGCCGAGAAGAACTGAAGTATCACATCAGCCATCGACATTCCCATTTCTTTTAATCCAAACCAGACAGATTTGGACCTTCCCTCCATTTGAGTCCAAGTTGGTCTCACCATTACCACCACTCGGGCTTTTGATCCTACTTTCAGCCCTATGGTTATTGGTAGCTGAACTGTACACATTTGTAGCTCCAAAGAAGAGTGTGAGCTAGCTATTTGAAGATAGAAGTCACTACTATCAATATGGTAATTGAAGCAACACAGATGGATGAAATTGTCCAGGAGGAGAGGATAGAGAAGACAGACTGGGTTTGAGCCTCAGGAACTCAATCTTTAAAGAAAATGGTTTCCTATGCTTTGCTGTACCTCCCCATATATTGAATATATGTACCTCCCCATATATTGAATGTGTACTTCTCCCTAATATATTGAATATATAGGGAATTCCCACATAGCTTGTACCTCCCCATATATTGAATATATGTACCTCCCCATATATTGAATATATGGCCCCACCACCATATATTCAAACCTGTACAAGCAGATTATCACAAATTTCTTCAACTGCAACCTAATTTCTAGACCCTTACTATTCTGGAGGGTATGTTGGATACAGTCATTTATCAGTTTATCAGTGTCTGCTTAAAAATGTAATATTTTGGCTACCAAAGCAATTACAAATAAAACAACCCTACCACTCCATTTCCTTAACAGTATCAACCATAACTTAAAAGAATCCTCATACAATAAATAAGGGTAATGGAAGAATGGGTAAAATCAAATACCAAGTTATTTTTAATGATTACTTTTCAGACCAATTTTACCAAGAGATATGTGGTAATACAGAATTGATCTAATTACTGTTGTTTTTCACAAGAAAGTCAATATCCAGAAATTAGAAAACCTCCCAAGATAATGGAAAAATAGCTTTGACATTTTGAAAAATTTGAGTTTGATTTTGTTGACCATCAGAATTTCTACCTTCATAAAGAAGAAAAACAAACAAACAAAACAAATAATAAAAAAAGAACTACCCCCTAAAG